CTGACGGCTGGTAACTGTGCAGGGGGGGATCTAGCAAAGTTTAGCCAGGGGGGCCGATAGGACATGAACAGGGAAAAGGGGGGCACAAAGACATACTTTTCTTTCTTATTCTCATTTAAAATGTCGAGCTTTTAATAATTAATTATCTGAATCTTACACCCAAAGTTGTAATCTGATGTAAAATGTATAGAAGTCCATTACTGTATATAGTAACTGTTAAGTCTAATATACCCTAGTAAGCTATAGTACTTTTTCCATCTGTGCAGTCTGCAGTTCTGTTGAAGAAAGATGTTGAATCTATTTAATTATTCTTGAAAAATAATTGATTTCTGTGCATTTTTTTCACACTGCATCAAATTAAAGTTGATTATGTTGATTAAGCATCATGAGGTGGGGGGTGGGGGGTGGTTCCCTAGTTTGTTTGTTTTTTTGCTGGGAGTTTGGAACCTAATTAGTTAGATTGCTTACTCTTTAAAATACCAGAAGAGGGAGGATGGAGTAGGTTCAAGTTTATTAGATTGATCAGTATTGCTGAACTATGAAATATTTTGGGTGCAGTGTGTTTTTTGCATACAGGTATAACAGAATAGCTTTAGTGTTTTATTTATTTTTTTTAATTTGAGTTTGAACTTGTACAAAATGCAGCAAGATATTAAAAAACAGTTTTATTTATTTAGAAAACACACTATATCGGATTCATATCTGTATCGGCCGATATCCAAATTTATGATATTGGTATCGGACATAAAAAAGTGGTATCGTGCCATCTCAAGTCCAAAGCAACGTTATATCTAGAATTCCCATATATCATTCCCTATACATAGTTTTCTAAGTTACAAGGCTTTTTGTCAATTTTTTACCTGTAAGTCACTAAGTTGACCATGAAGATCTTGGGGGATGTAAGGAAATTTTTAACGGACTGTTAACCCTATAATGCCCTGTATCATATTTGATACATAAGTATCAAAATGTTATGGACAAAACAATTTTTTTTGTCTAATATTAACATTGTTGTTAACAAAAAGTTGCCAAAAATGTCCAATGTATCAAATGCGATACAAAAAATATATAATAAATATATAATAAAAAATATATCATACACAACTTGATATAGCAAAAAAATGTGGATTTTGTTATAAGGATTAATAAACATCTCAGTTCCCCCCATAAATCTGAATTTTCTGGCTATTTTTTTGATGGATTTGGTCTTACAAGGTTGACATATTGAACCTCTACACCCCGACGAATTTGATCAAAATTCATCCAAATTTTTTGAGGTATTGTGTTTACAGAAAGAAAGAATGTCACGGACGCACACTATGCCAAAACCTAACCTCCTTGCAGAGGTAAATATACAGTAAAGCTGCTAACTATCCATTCCTGTCAGCATAGTCAATGTCAGTATGTCACTTCACATTTTTGTACTTGTCTCATCTTTCTGGAATATCTTTGGTTTTCAAAGCAAAATCCTTACCCTGTTCACTTTAAATAGAGCCATATCAATCCTGCTTCTAGACGACGCTAAGACGGGATTTCCCTCGAGTTCTGCTAATCAGTGTCAGCGCATAACACGGGTGCACGTCTGCCTTTCCTAATAAGCTCTGCCATCGTGAATTCTTGTTCACATGACTAAAATAACATGAAAGAGGACTAATAAAACAGACTTCAATACTCAAGGGCTGGCCCTATATCTTATTACCAGTGGAGCAGCAGTGGTGTGCCCAACAGTGTCGACGATCAGACGCAATTAAGAGCTCAGC